CTATATAGTCTATATATTTGATAAACTAAATAATTAAGAAATATATCCCCTATATAACCTAAAGGAGCCACTATATAGCAGCTTGTTATAATAATTGCAGTAATGAGTGAACTGAAGAGACTCATCAACATCGAAATAGTTTTTGTGTCAAATTAGATGGATATCTGTATTCCAAATGCTCTGAAATTTATAAATTTCTTTATTGTTGGGAACCAAGGGGTTGCAGCCCACATATAAAACATTGAATCACCTTGCTCAAACACAAAGTCCACAAGAAAAACTCATTCTCAGTCACTCAGAATACTTTTACTTAATCCAACTAAGTGTGTTAAAATCACTGAATTGTAATCTTTTTGGAAATCATTAATCCCAATCCACGCAGTTCCCTTGAAAATCCACCATTTTATTTCTTACCAGAAAACCCAAAATATTACATATAAGGAAGTCTTTGATATGCTAGTTCTCTTCCCTCATCACCAGTACTTTGATTCAAAATATTTTGTGCACACTATAATACAATACTAATACTTAATACACCATTTAAATTTTCCAGATTCAAACTCAATTTCTTTTTCTTTCAGAGTACCCATCAATCCATCATTTTTAGCTAACAAACACACAATCTCAACAAGTGGACATAAAGGCCAGTGCACCCAATATGAAAAATTTTCCATTAAAGATTGAATTTTTCAGTCATTATCATTTAATATTGTTAAAATTTCACTGCCTTTAAGGCACAGAGTTCTCATCTTCCTTTTCTTCCCCTCTTTTATTTTTTTCTATTTCATTTATCAATATGAAATTACGTCAGAAAGTAGAAACATTCATCCCTTCCACTTTTCCATGATAAATTTAACACGACAAATACTTAGCTTAGGTACAGATTTCTCTAAAAACAAACATGCCGCAAGAAGCAGATCATTAATTAATTCAAAATAACATTTAAGAAAATAAATAAAAATAAATGTATACAATCCCATGTCAAAATAACATAAAAATCCTAAATTCGATTCACATGCATTAACACGTAAATACATGTATCTGCAAAAAATAAAATAAACTGGTCAAATTATTAGAAACAAAAAGTAAGAAATAAGAGAGTTTGTGCAGGTTATTTTAGAAAAAAAAAAAAAAAAAAAAACGATAGTCAACGGAATCAAGGACGGCGAGGTACCTGAGAAACGACGGTGTCGGAGGTGGTGGCCGCGGCGGATGCGGTGGTGGTGGAGTCCGCAGATTCCATACTCCACACCACCTGTCAAGACGTCCCTCCGAAATTCTCGTCCTGTGCGCTCTCCTTATTCTCCTTCTCTTTTATCGTCTTTCTAAATTTAACTAAACAAGAAATGCCACCTTCTATTTTTATATGCACAATATTTTTTATTTTTTTCCTATTTTCGATTAGAGAATACAGAATTACAGAGCATCGCGTGTTTTTTTTTTTTTAAGGTCAAAATTCTTCATTAGTTTTTTCTTGTTAAAAGAAGGAAAAAAACAAATCTAATGGAAGGTGTGCAAGTTACTTTGTGGACTCTAAGTCTTGGATTGTTTCACACTTTCACTAAATTGACTTTTAATGCTACTTTTTGCTAAGGGGCGTTTGATATCTAGTTGTTAGATTATTGGATTAGTGGATTTGATTAGTTGATAATATTGGATCAATGACCGAAATGTGTGGTCAAAAGCCTGAAATTTCCAAAGTGTGTCACGTTTTTTTTTTTGACAAAAATATGCAAAACTCCTTTGGGAGTTGCGTTTTTTGTTGTGTCCCGGCATATTTTTTTTTCCGGTATTTTCGTAAAACGCAAGAGGTAGTTGCGTTTACGTATTCGTATACGTAAAACGCATTACCTTAATGCGTTTTCTAGGGGATACGGTATAGGCAAAAACGCAACTTACGTTTGCGTCTTACGTATTATACGGAAAACGCAAAAGTAAGTTGCGTTTTTTGGATTTTTTGTACCGGCGCTTTCCGGCGACATCGAAGAACGGCGAGAACCACAAATAACTGCTCTGTTTTCTTCAATCATTTCCCATTCCATCGTTCAAAATTTTTCGAAAAAAATCCATCGTTTCCTATATAGACTGCTGCGTCCTCTCTTCTCTTCTTGTTATCATAATCAACAACAATGGAGAACCAAACCCAGAACAGAAAGCAGAATCAGAAGCAGAACAGAAACGTCGGCGGTGCTCCACCGGCACCGAACGTCGTTGTTCAAGACCAAGAAGAGTTCAGGCTCCGGGAGACGGCGCCGCTACTCAGCGGCGGGAATGAGAGGCAGGCGACGGCGTTTGACCTGGTGGAGCAAATGCAGTTTCTGTACGTGAGAGTGGTGAAGGCGAAGGAGTTGCCGGCAAACGATCATTCCCCTCACCCTTTTGTGGAAGTGAGGATTGGGAACTTCAGGGAGCTCACTCGCCACTATAAGAACAATCCCAATCCTGAGTGGAACCAGGTTTTCACTGTCTTTAAAGACCAGATTCAGACCACTGTGATCGTATTCGTATTCGTATACGGAATAATTGTATTACGCAAGTGCAAGTGGCGTTTTACGTTTAATTACAAAAACGCAATTCATTCTTGCGTTTTTCACATAATTCCGGCGGACTAGCGCCGGTAAATAGTCCGCATTTCGGAGTTGCGTTTTACGTATTTTATAGGATTATACGTAAAAACGCATCTCCCAAATGCGTTTTAACGTATTCCATACGTCACATAAAAACGCATTTGGCAGATGCGTTTAACGTATACAATACGAAAAACGCAACTCGCCATTGCGTTTTACGTAAATAATGAAAAAAAAAAAAAAAATACAGCCGGGACAACAACAAAAACGCAACTGGGAACTGAGTTTTACATATTTTTGTCAAAAAAAAAAAGTCAAGACACATTTAGGGAAATTCTCTTGGCCATCTACACATTTCGATCATTGATCCGATAATATTAGTTGATTGTAGAAAGATGTTTGGTAAATTAGTTGGTAGCTTACAGCGGATCACATGCAAAATGATTTCTCGCAAAGCTTATCGAAAAAGTTACTGTGTGAGCATCATTTTAAATTTTAGCATTTTGAAGCAATAAGCTGTTACAAAAAAATTAATTAATCAAACAATTCTATTGAATGTTTAACAAAGTCAAACACCTAATAGTGGACAAATAAGCTAAAATTGGCTAATAAACTAACTATATTATCAAACAGGGCCTAAGCCAAAACACAATATTCTATATGATAGCATAAATTGAGAGCAAATACCAATTTTGGTCTCACAAGTATTAGCAAAGTAACAGTTTTGGTCCACGTATTTAACTCCGATAAATTTTCATCCACGGTTATTGTTTTAGTACCAATTTCATTCACAACTATTGATTTAGTGTCAAAATTTATCACACTGATCACCCTTTTATTTAAGACATGCCGAAATATAAAATTATTAAGGATATTTTTGTCATTTTCAAATTAAGATATCAATTTGAACATGAATAAATGATTTAAGCTCTAAGATCAATCCCAATTCACAATTCTCTTCCTCAAATTAAGGTAGGATGAGGATGAGAAGTGCGAATTAAGATCAATCTTAGGGGTTAAATCCCTTCATTCATACTCAAAATGGGATCTTAAGTTGAAAAGAATGAAAATACCCTTACAAAATTTATATTTCGGCATGCCTTGAACGAAGGAGCGTTATGATGTGCAACCGCGTGCACCATTTGCAAAAACGACGTTGTTTTGACGTCCAACTAAAATAAAAAAAAAAATAAAAAATAAAAAATAAAAAAAACCTATTTTGATTGCTGTTAACAGCGTTATGTTGTGCATTTGAACTATACATCCATAACTTCATAAATATACATTCAGAATTGCATAACCACACATTCATAACTATACATTCAGAATTGCATAACTACACATTCATAACTTCGTAACTATACATTCAAAATGTGAAATTATAAAATTACGAACATATGTTTACGTAACTAACGGCAATCGAAAATATTTTTTTTTTCTTTAAGTAAAACGACGCCATTTTTGCAACCGTGTGCACCATCGGTTGCACAACATAATTTGCCTTGAACGAAAGGGTGACCGACGTGATGAATTTTAGAACTAAAATTATAATCGTGAATAAAAATTGATACTAAAACAATAGTTGTTAATTAAATTAATATGAATTAAACATGTGAATCAAAATTGTCATTTAATATTCGCGATATCAAAATTGGTATTTATTCATAAATTAGTGAAGAGAAATAGGAAAGTATTTGTAGTCTATGATGATAACAATTGGTCACTATGATGAGGATCAGAGCAATACGAGTACAAGTACGAGTACGAGTACGATTAAATGTAGTCATATTGATAATTGAGTACAAGATAGTCATTGAGAGGGATTGACTAAACTATTTATATTACAATAAGTTGGTCAAAAATAAAAAAAGTCTTTTGCATTCATTATTATTATTATTTTTTGTGAATATTACTGACTCTATGACAATGTAGTATCTGTTTATCATTCCTACTGAATTTCGAACCCACAATCTCTCATATAAGAAGCAAATTAATGTTATTGAACCACAAAATCTTTGACTTCTTGTTTATTTTTTAAATAGCAAATTTTACCAAAACATGTTGATTATTTGGGGTAGACATTCAAACTTATGTATATATACAAAAATCTTTTTAGTAATATCAGCTAAATATCATAATGTTTATATTTGAATATATTGCATAGACAGCTCAACGGTTCAACTGATTGCAAGGGTTAAATTTATCATAGTGATCTAATCTCATCAACGGAAAACAACCACAGACATCTTTGGCCTGTGACTACCGAGTTCTCACAGTAATTTTTTTTTGTTTTTGTTTTTTTTTTTTTTTTTTTGTTTTTTTTTTTTTTGTTGTTGTTACTTTTACCGGTTTCTCACAGTAATTTTTTTTTTTCTTAAAAGAAAAGAAAGAAACTTTTTAAAAAAAATATATATGGACTGTTTTTTAGTTTGTGGAGAGGAGCATATATATACAAGATAACGAAGTGTCTTGTTGGCGCTTATTCTCTGGAATTTCAATCCCTACGTTTCCCGACCAAAGATTGACAACCAGTCGGTAGATATCGTTCATTTCTTCTCCGACCAGTCACAAATGCTTGTTGGAACGGCCACCTTCACGGTCCATATTGCCAACGTTCAATCTGGAGCGTTGGTTACAAAGCAGCGATACAGATTTCTGGTATGCCCCTGGACTGCTTCTCAGAAGTATTAATTTGTCGAATTTCATTTTTTTAATTTAAAAATTCGTTCTCGTATACTCTCTGGAGCTCTTTTATATTCATACTCTTCCAAGATTCAAGCATAATTCAGGGTTTTAAATCATTCGTGGATTCTGTTTGCAATAGCTCCTAGAATTTCAGGACTGAAATCGTGCTCCTTTACCCGATTCTCTTTCTTTTCGGGTTAAAAAGTTTATACTCGTATGCTATGGGAGCTGTTTGTTTAGAGATTTTAGTTAGCCTATAAGCTGCTTATTTGACCACTATTAATTGTTTGACTTGATTAAAAAAAATTATAAGTGTTTGGTTAATTAGCTGTTGTAACTTCAAAATGCTAAAATTCAAAAAGTTGCTCAAAGCAACTTTTTCAATTAACTTTTTGAAAAAAGAAAGTATATCACAACAGCTATCAGCTAACGGCTAATTTACCAAACACCTTTCTACAATCAGCTAATGTTATCAAGTAGTTATACCCTCTTGTTAACCCAATCAGCTAACCGCTATCAGCTATCAGCTATTAGCTAACAATCATTTACCAAACATGGCCTTTCAGTATAAGATGTCTAGTTTGTTCGTAGTTGGGGTTTTTCATAAGTATTATATTTCACTCATAAGTATTAAACATTTTGCTTAAGTACTTAAACCCCTAATATTATATTTTGATTTAAAAGTATTACATTTGTCATAAAAAAGTATTTTATTTTTTCTCATAAGTATTACTTCGTATAATTTCCCTACCAATTAATCAATTTATCCCGACTAGTATTACATTTTTCTCATTAATAACTATTTCAACCCTTAAATATTGCATTTTAATTTGAAAATATTACATTTTTTTCCTCAAAAAGTATCACACTTTCTCGTATGATTAACAATCAAATTATGATTAGTATTACATTTTCATATAGACTCGACCTGTCTCACAGAAGTATTCGTGAGATGGTCTCAAGGAGACTCACCCCTAGAGGAATTGTTATTGGTTATGGAATTTGACAATTTGTAAATGGAGATTTAATATTTGCCAGTGGTGTGCACTCAGAGGGTTTAACTATTGCTAGTTCAATTAAATTTATCAAGCAAAAAGAGAAGTATATTTCACTTCAGCTAGCTAACAGTTGCTCAGTGAGCAGCATTTAATTTTACTTACCAATGTTTGTGGGTTTTGCTTGAGATCATTTGAATCATATTCGTGTATCGCAGAATCAGGATCCAACTATTTGCTTGTGTTCTTTTCTAATCCAATAAATGATGGTTATGGTATGAATTTGTTGTTGGAATTATTTATTTAGAATGCTAAACTGTCAATTATGAGTTTATGACTTATATATGGTGAAAGTTGTTTCAAAGGAGTCGATGTTGATGGCAACCACTTGCTTTTGTAGAGGTGGTATGTGATCGGTATATGATCCTTGTGAATTATTTGGTATAGCCTGCACTTTTCATGCTAATATTTGAGAAGCTGGCCTTTAAGTTAGTAAGGGGTAATGAGATACGAAGAAATTATTTATGAGTTAAATGCCCTGCCCTCTCCCTAGGATGCTCGTACTCCACCAGACATTATATATGATACTCCGAACTTAAGTTGTCTGTCTTTTGATATTTGGCTTGAATTCAACTGCTTATATTGCACAAAGGATAGTGAACAGGTTTTTGTTTGCTCATGCTGCATTCTCTGATAAAATGTTTTTTTTTTTTTTTTTTTTTTTTTTCCACTTGTCTTTACTCTCTACCCCACATATCTTTTCTATAAAAAAGTTTATCTTCCTTCAGGTAGCTTGGGTTTTGGCAACAGCCATACCTTTTCTTGTTTCTCATATAACATACGGAATTGATATTTACTCATGTCACTGATAAGAAAGGTAAAGTCGGTGACAGAGCTAAGAGGGCATTCCAGTTATCAAGGATACTCTACAAAAGTTATTTAAAAACCAAAATCTGTACATGTAGACAGTTGGTTCTCTGGTGGTGTACAACATTTTTAGCACTTTTAGTGGTTTGATGGAACTTGCATTTTCCTCTTCTGGTCTTTCATTTTCTTTCAGAACAACCCTCTGCATTAGTCTGGAATTTTAAATGGAACAAACTTTCACAAGACATTGTTCTTAGTTATTTGCTGGATCCCCCTCTTCGTTTCTTTCATTTTCATGATGGGGGTGTTTGGTAAATAGTTGTTAGCTGTTAGCTGTTAGTTGATTGGATTGGTGGGTTTGATTAGTTGATAGCATTAGCTAACCGTAGAAAGATGTTTGGTAAATTAGCTTATAGTTGATTACATGTAAAATGACATTCTCAAAAAGCTTATCGAAAAAGCTACTACTTTGAGCAACTTTTTGAATTTTAGCATTTTGGAACAATAAGCTGTTACAAAAAGTTAATTAATCAAACACTTATATTGAATGTTTAATCAAGTCAAACATCTAATAATGGTCAAATTAGTCAAAATTAGCTGATAAGCTAACTATGTTACCAAAAAGGGCTCCACTTTTTTGGGGTGCTCAACTCTTTAAACTTGGAAATCCTTAACTCCACTTTTAAATTGGAGCAGTAGACACAAAAGCTGATATCTACACTTGGTGTGGATCCCCATGTCTGTGAGCCCGTAGAGTTTCTATCATGAATTCATGCAGTCTCGAGTTTAATTGAGCAAAGAAACTGGCCATAATCATAATTGGACCATCAGCCAATTTACTTGTATATCGCTCTCTTTTCTTGCAATTGACGTTATTGGAATTAACTATAAATCTATGTTGAGTTGATATTGCATTGACACTCATGAGTTGTTAACACAAGACATTCCTTTTGCAGGAAAGGTTTCATATAAAAAGGGCTAGTCAGCGATGGAGAAGAACACAGTTTAAAACCTCGTGTTCTCTTGAAGATTCAGTTCCTCGGGGAGTTGAATTTATGAACCCACACGCCAACTATTGCTTCAATTTACACGAGCCACCTAGCGTTCTTGCAGATGCTGCATCAACACTGATACAAAGACTGGTGCTACTCGATTTGGACCCTGCCACCGCAAAATTGGCCATCACCTTCCTGGGGCCCGTCCTATCGGCGTTTTCTTTTCTGTTCATCTTGCGAATAGTGATGTCCTGGTACCCTAGACTCCCCGTCGGGAAATTCCCTTACGTGATAGCATACGCACCAACAGAGCCGATACTCATCGCGACACGCAAAGTGATACCTCCTCTCGGTGGAGTGGATGTCACACCTGTGGTCTGGTTTGGGTTGGTCAGTTTCATCAATGAAATACTGTTAGGCCCTCAGGGGTTGCTTGTTCTCCTATCTCAACAGGTAAGCTCCTAGAGAGGCTATGTACATGTAATATCCAGGGAGGAAACCATATTCTCTCTAGACTGTTCAATTTTGTACATGACAGGGAAATGAGAAAACCATTCATTTATGTGTTTGCCACGCCCAGAAATCCCAGAATGACTTTGAAGATTGAAGTAACCCATAGGCCAAAACCAACCCTCCAAATTATCTTGCAAGACACAAGTTCAAGATTTTAAAATCTTGCAATTAAATTGAACAATATAAAATCGTGCATGAAAGTGATATGTATTTCTTGTTGTAGCCTGACATGACAGTTAATTTTTAAGAAATAATTTTTAAATCAATTTTATTAATTTTACATACATTAAAATTTTAAAATAAATTGTAATTTATTTAAAATTATTAAATTAAATGTAAAAATAAATAACTTTTTAAAAGTTAACTTCTATATCAACATATAATTAGAGTGTATATCACATGATTTTGGAATGTTCATGAATCTAATTGCAATTTTTAAGTTGGATGATCAAGTTGCAATTTCACGTGTAGTTTGATGACTTATTTGACTTTGTCAAATAATTTCTCAAATGCATTTGATATTAAATGATCGCACATTTGACAATTATCATGTACTGTGATATGACACATTTATTACTATTTCAAATGACTATTCACACGATTAAACCTTGTGAGATTAGTTTGTAAAGAATTACAAATGTTTCAAAAAAAATAAATTATTGTGCATTTAAACTCAAATTAGTTTTGACAAATTTCAATCAATTTATCTGTGGTATATCCCCAGCATAATACAAATATACAATTGAAAAATATTATTTTATATTCTCAATTTTTACTTTCACACATAAAATTTTGATATAGACATTATCAAAACTCATCACATTAAGAAATAAAATTAAGGGAGTAATGTATTGAGACTCACCTAAAAAAAAAAAAAAAAAAAAAAAAAAACTTATCAAGCATTTTAAAATTAAAAGACTAATAAGATTTGATAGAAGTGAAACTCTATACAATAATGGTAATGGTTTGTTCCCGCCACAAAAGAGTGCCTTTTCCCCTTCTACGCGCCATTTTGCTATCGCCATAAACTACCCTACAGCCGTACTACAGAGCAGAGATATTGAATCTTGTGTAAAGGAAATGGCTTCTTCTACTGGGAAAACCATTTTGGATTTTTTCAAGCAACCGGCAGCGAAGCGCCTCAAACGGGTCTCTTCGCCACCGCCGTCGCCGTCTCCCCCCTCCGCTGTTCTCGTCGCCAACAGCTTCTCTTCTACTGCCTCGTCGTCTCCGACGGACGGCGATGCCGACCAAAACGACGTCGTGCTGCCAACCACAGCGGCGCTCACTCCTGACCAGAAATCGAGAATCGAATTCAACAAATCCCTAGCCAAAGCGAAACGCAATCTCAAGCTCTGTGCTGAGAAAATCTCTAATTCTGTTGTTAAAGGTCAGTCTGCATGATTACACCTGATCTTTTATGTACACTTGGTTTATTTTAATCGATGAGGGATTTCAAGGGAGTAAATGTGTGGTAGGTGAGGGGGCGCAGTATGTGAACTTGAAGGAATTGTTGGTAGAGGAGTCGTGGTTGCAAGCATTGCCGGGGGAGTTTGAAAAGCCGTATGCCAAGAACTTGTGTAAATTTGTGGAGAGTGAAATTTGCAGTGGTGGTGTGCCAATTTATCCTCCTCAGCATTTGATTTTCAATGCACTTAATACTACTTCTGTTGACAATGTAAAAGCTGTCATCATTGGACAGGTATAATTCCATGTACCCCTGGCCATATGCACCCCACCCCTCAAAAAGAAAAAAGAAGGAACCAAAATACTTAGTTATGTTATTGCCTTTCTTTATCTGTGTTCCCTCTGTAGTTTCTTATTAGAAAGATTCCATTTTTTGTAAATAAGAAGAAAGCAGGTTTAGCTGATGGTACTTGCATATCAATCTTTAGAACTAATTTGACCTTTTGTCTCTCACAACTTAAAAAATGGACAACATTAGTTTCTTGGCTTTCACAAAGTAGATTACATTGGTCTTTCCACTCTTTTAGCCAAAATGAATTTATAAGAAAAAATAGATCCAACATTCGGTCCCATTTCAGATTTCTTGATGGAGGGACCAACATTCTAAGTTGAGGTGAAATGATTGAACTCACTGAAGTGCCACTATGACAAAAAAAAAAAAAAGGGAGCTAGTTCTCAGTCTTTACATTAAGCCTTTTTGATAGATTCACTTAGTTGATCAATTTATAAATTTGTTTCTACTAAACTGTGCTGGATTTGAAACTGCCGTATGCATGTGTTTTTTTTCCCTAACATTTACTGTCATCCTTACTATCAGGATCCATATCATGGACCTGGTCAAGCAATGGGCCTGTCTTTCTCAGTGCCAGAGGGTGTAAAAGTTCCTTCAAGCCTTGTTAATATTTATAAAGAACTTAAGCAAGACTTGGGCTGTTCAATTCCTTCTCATGGAAATTTGGAAAGATGGGCTATACAGGTAACTCAAGTTAATTTTCATAAGTATTATTCATCTCATATCTGGCATTCTGGCTATTCAATTGTGGTAACTCTTCTGTACAACTTACGAATGTCTCATTATTCAGTCATGTCATGACATCCTTGTGTTATTTCCTGTACTCTTTTAGGTAGAATGAATTTTGATTTCTATTTCCATTTGTTAATTTCCTGAATTAAATAACAAATTTGCAGGGTGTTCTACTTCTCAATGCTGTTCTTACAGGTATGGTTTTATTTCCAATCAATATTATGCAGTATCTCTCTTATATCCTCTCCTTTGGGTCATTCAGTCATGTTTTCCTCTGGCACATAAATAATTTGACAAAAGCATTTATTGTTTCGTTCTCTACACCCAAAATTGTTTGACAATGCATTTACTACAGAATGTAAATGTTGCAGAAGTAAATGCAAACTAAACACCTTGCTGCCCACCAACCAAAATTCAGCCCAATTCAATTGCCTATTGATAGTATATGGATGCAGTTGAAAGCTAAATTGGTCTAATCCACTGAGATTATTGTTGAACATTTTGGACGTCAATGAGCAGCTTAAAGTGAAGCGACTCAGATGACTATTTCAATCATTTATATTTTCAAATTTTGATTAATCAAATCAATTATCCTCAAGTCAAGCCATCTCTCTCAATTTCTCATTTTCTCCTTTCTATTTATTGATCAACTGCCATCTCCACTTAATCATGTGTTCCTCTATCACTTTTTCTGTTCTTCTCATTGCCCCCTCTTTTTTGACATCTATCAGTTAGGCAGCATCAAGCAAATTCTCATGCAAACAAAGGTTGGGAGCAATTTACTGATGCTGTCATCAGAACAATTTCTCAGAAGAAAAAAGGAGTTGTTTTCCTTCTTTGGGGAAACTATGCCCAAGCAAAAGGCAGGTATGTAATGTGACACGCTTCATTCGGATCAAGTTCAAAATTTTTAATCAGAAATGGGCTGGTCATGGCTCTTTTTTTGTTTTAGTATATATGTGCTAATAGGCAAGTTATAATAAGTTGTTTCTGCTTGAAATGCTTATTTCTCAACTTTTGTAGAAGAGAATTTTTTAAAAAAATTTTAAAAGTAAGACCATAAATGGCATTAACTGGTACAGTTTTGCACATAAAATGATGCCTTTGAATGAAACTTATATGATGCTTGAAATAGTTTGGCTGATATGATCCAAAGCACTAGTTTCTCCTTGTTAACTCCTTCACTAACCAAGCTAAAGCTTACTTAGACTAAAATATCATTTGAAATCGGGAATTATTATTCTTATTAATAGAGATTTGTACAGGCTAATTGATGAAACCAAGCATTATGTGCTTAAATCAGCACATCCTTCTGGTTTGTCTGCACACAGAGGCTTCTTTGGATGCAGGTTTGTCAGCCTACAATGAATTTATTTTTGCATTAAAGTCATCTGCATTTACTGGTATATATCACTGCACTCTTGTAGTTTATTGTACTGCTGCTTGCTTAAATTGCATGTGTTCAATACAATATGAAGAAATGTACTTGCTTTAATTCTGATTCTGCATCTAGTTTATTTTTATTTCCTGAGAGAACTCTCTGAAGAAAGTTCAATACAATATGAAGAGTTGTACTAGCTTTAATTCTGACTCTGCATCTAGTTTACTTTTATTTCTGGAGAAAACTTTCCCACTGAAAGCTGGAAAAGGAATGGGCTCCATGATATTAAGGATGCATAAAAAATCTCATTGACCTTGTTTGATTTTAGTGGGCATGAGAATGATCCTGGACCCTCCTATAATTATGTTTGATTTTAGGAAAAAAAAAAAGAATTCCTTCAATGAGTAATTCTTAATATGTTTACTGTTACCAGCTCAGGGGTTTTGAGCACTATCGTTTTGTATGGATGGTAATATGGTATTTATGGTTTTACAGCATAAATACTCAATCGTATTATATCTTGAAATCTTCACTTAAAAGTATCTGGCAGCTAACATTTTTTTCCCTTCAATTGATGATTACTTGCACAGGCATTTTTCACAGACAAATAAGCTTATGGAGAAAATGGGAAAATCTCCCATAGACTGGCAACTATAGTGTAGAATGCCATTCTGGAACACTAGCATAGTGGGATTCAGCTATTATCAATATGCATAGGTATGTAAAAATGATCACATCATGTATCATACACTGCACAATTGCCACAATTATTACTCCGTATTTGAGATTTCTGAGTTGATGAGGTTATGAGCAATTAACTGCTAACGTTGTTATTTGCTGATGGCTGGTTGCCTATCAATGTATTAGCATTTGATAAGTATCATTCAACATTTGAGATGCTCAGCAACTAATTACAAGCTACATCACAATAATCTCTTTTTTGACAGCAGATAATTTGTTATGGGCATTGATCATAAATATTCTTGCATAATTTTCTCTCTTGTGGACATATTTCTTTCTTTATTTGGAGCACTGTCTTGGTTAGGAAGTATGTAAGAGTGGTATTTACTTGAAAAGGTGTATGGTACTATTTGTCAATACTTGGCCTACTAATAAAAACAAGTTGGTCTACAGAATTGGGGTTCTATGGGGTTGGGAAAAATTAGATTAGCTGGCTTTATAAAATGTTGAAAGTTGCAAAAATAGCAATATTCCTCTTGTTAAGGACTGCTTTTAGTAAGAGTCGTGCTGCTCTGTGGTATTTTCAGGCCACTGGTTAATAAACTGTTACTGAAATAAGTTCTATTTCGTATCTTATACTGACACCTTTTTTTTTTTTTTTTTTTGAAATTCTTTATTGGTAGGGAGGCCAATTTTGTGATGGGCGATCTTGCTGGAGATGGAATGTGGCTAGGCCGTGTTGTTTTTTGCTCTTTTCCCTATGATAAGTGGCTAGTATATATATCTTATGTATGTATGTGTGGCATCACTCACTGATTATCCCTCAATTGTTATTCAAGTTAACTTATCTTTTGCTCCATCCATGTCTCTACCACACTGACACTCTTCTCTCTATCTCTCTTTCCTACCTGATTGACTGGTTTGAATCGTGGTTATGGCAGTGCTGCTAATCAATATGATATTTCCAGGATGTTTCCTTGGCTAGGCTTCTGCTGTATGTTGAGTCCAACCAAGTAAGATTTACCAGTGCAATTTGTGGATATTTGCATGTTTGCTATCTGTTGTTTGTTAGACAGCAAGGTAAAAGCAGCATTCTCCTAATACTCATGTTGATGAACAAAACAAATTCATCCTCAATATAACTGTGTATATATATGCTTTGGTTACATGTGTCTTCCCTAGAAACCCAGAAAATATCACCTCTCAAACAAGCCTTTAACATAGACCATGCCTTTCTCACTGAAATTCAGCTCCTTCCTCATTTGCTCTACCTGCACATCATCTCCCTGAACAATAACCTCCTTCAGGGTTCCATCATCATCCACCATCATTTTCACCTTCACCTGTTCCTTTCTCGACGCCCGAGTCCAATAGTATACACCCCTGCTCATTCATTCCAGAGTTTTTTTAGTACTACTGACTCATTATAATGCAGTATCTATTCATAACTACTTTCTTAATCTACTGAAGCACAAAGAGTCAATACCGCCCCCACTGAGGCTCGAACTCATGCCCTTTCATTTGGGAGAGCCACTAGACTACGGTTGAAAGGTAGAAGGGCATGCCTAGTGTAAACCATGTCACACATAGGAGGCTACCATTGCAACTATCATGGAGTTAATACCAAATTTAATTATCAACTTTGATGATAAGTTAATACCAAAACATCGAAGTTGAGAATTAAATCTGGTATTAACTCAATTGCATCATGCATTGAATTTGTGAATATAAAATTCATAAATTCAATGCATAATATGTTTACAGAAGTGGTTGCCCAATAAAGTTTGAATGGAAATCAAAATTGTTTAGCATTATAGCAGCACTTACGCTAAGGGACTTAATGCAGTGAGCCAAAACCAGTTGTTTCCTATTTCCGGAAGAGTTATGGTGAGGACAAGGGAACAACTGGCTAAGCTTATGCAAGTGCAGAAAGCTAGCAGCGCTGCTTGCCCCCGGCTTGGTGCCATCATTCCTTCAAACCTTCACCATTGGAGAACAGTACGTGGCTGTCAGTGACTTTTAAATCAAAATATGCAATATACATGTATTCATCCATAACATACTATATTTCAGATTACAAGAATTATTATATTATTAGCTTTCGATAACAAGAAAATTTGCAGTCATTGTTCGAGGGTGTTACTGAATATTCTATAACCAATAAAAGACCTAAATCAACTTAGGTGATCCTAACCGACAAATGACTACAAGTAAATCAATTTAGGTAGTCCTAGCTGGTAAAGAATCATAATTCACACAAGTAAACTAGTCTAGTTGACCCTAACTAGCAAAGGACTACAATGAAGTAAACAGTTTAGGTGATTCTAGTTGACAAAAGATCACAAGAAAGTAAATTAACTAGTTTAAAAAATCACAATAAAGTAAATTAACATAATTTGTCCATTGCTGACTGGTTCAAATTAAGAAGAATTTGTCCATTGCTGACTGGTTCAAATTAAGAAGGTTAATAATCACTTCCTCGAAGTTGAATTTGAAACTTTATAATTAATGAATCAATAATCTTACTAACTTGATTAGGTTGTACTAGATTACAAGAATTTTCTCTATGGATGACACATTTTTTCCTTTTATTTATTTATTTATTGGAGATAAAAGGGTAGGATGCATTGGGTGGTTGACATACGTTATAGTCTCTCCTCTATCCGACACCACAAAATTGTTGCGAGTGAAGAACGCCAGAATCTCTCCCGCCACCCTGTTCGCCGCCTTCTTCCCCTCCTCCGTCGTCACGAACGTCTTCTGCACAATCTGCAACCCGCACAAAAACTCCGACTCAGCAACGCCCAAAAACACAAAAAAGGAACACCAGTAGAGAAAGAAAGGGAGAAACCTTGGATTTAACAGAGCGTTTGATGAGGGACCAGAGACCGGGAACGGAGATGACGAAGAGACCCAACGAAGTGTAGTAGCTAGCCAAGGAGTATCCGCCGCCGTCCGCGGCGGCGAGCTGGAAGAGGGAGGAGGAGGGGTCCTGAAAATGGTCGGCAATGTGATGGGGAGCGGCTGAGAGAAGTTGGAGGGCTTCGTGTTCGAGGGAATTCGGAGATGATACTCTGACGAGAGTGAGGTTTCTGTTGGTTCTTGTTGTTCGTGCGGCTGCCGGAGTGCCGGGAAGAACCCGGCTGAGCCGCCATGGACGGTGGGTTTCAGAAGGGTGAGATAGAGGAGAGAGTAGCAGCTTATTAGCTGCCATGACACACACAATTCAAGGCTGAAAACAGAAAATGGAAGATTTGTTTGGCGTTGCAGTATTGCTAGCACCAATTTATCAATGCTATTTGCGCCAAAGTACCTAAGTTTTTTTCTAAATCGTCAATGCGCCCCTATTATTTTGGTTTGGTATCGTTTGATTTAGGGGTCACTTTAATTTTTAATTGGAATAAGGTTCAAATTGGTCACTGAGCACTTTAAATGTATGCAATTTCACCTGATAGCAGGTTACCATCAATTTTAGAAGGTTACCATCAATTAAAAATATTAACTCAGCTGTCACGCAAGCAGGTAATCTGCTAAAATTGATGATAATTTGCTATCTGGTAAAATTGCATAAATTTGTAGTGTTCAGTGGCTTAATTGCACGTTTTTTGAGTTTTCAGTGGTCTAATTGCACTTTTTTTTTTTTTTTTTTTTTTTTTCGTTCAATAGCCTAATTACATTTTCAGATTACGTTCAGTGGTCAATTTGAATCTCATTCATTTTTAAGTTAATCAAACACATGATATTTACACGAGACGACGCTGCCGATCACTCCATGCCGTCGGTAAGAAGATGTTGTGTCGATGCAGGATATTTACACGAGACGGGCAAGGCCACTGTAGGGGCTGTTTTGCTTGATGATGATGGAGGCTACATCTCGGCCTTTAGTGCACCATTACCGACTTGTTTATCACCACTTATGGCTGAGGCTTTGGCGTGCAAGGAAGTTTTATCATGGTTAAAAGATCGAGGGGAACAGAGTATCGAGATTTACACAGATTGTTTGACACTACAACGTTATCTTACTGCACCAACCACTGCGTTTCGTTCTTACATTGGCTATGCCATTGACAGCTGCAGGCAAATTGCCACCTATTTTCAGTCCTGTTCTTTTAATTTTATTTCTAGATCAGACAATTATTTAGCTCATGCATTAGCTACTACGGCTTATCAGCAACTTGCTGCTATGTACTGGGATATCCACCCACCAGACATTATTTCAGCTTTTTTCTAATGAAGCACCGCAGAAAATTTTCAAAAAAAAAAAAAAAAACATGATAAAGTACCATACACACAAATGCTTCCATAGTATATAGGCAAAATAATATCTCAAGCGTCATGTACTATGATGACATTTGTATTATCATTTTAAATGGGTGATCATAGGTTTGAACTCCGGTGGTGGTGGTGAGGGCTTAAATTTTTTGAGTTAAAAATGATTGAAAAGATATAGAACAACTTTTACATTGTAAAGAATCATGAGTATTTTTAAAAAGAAAATAAAAGCAAAATAATATAATTTTTAAATAGGCTCTTAAATTTTATACACATGAATTTTTAAAAGTTGTAATTAAATACATCAACATGTCATTTTTAAGCATTGATGCACAAAAAATATGTTATTCACCTGTAATAACCAGTTATTAGGGTTTTGACAACTAATTGCCTTCTTATTGTATAAAGGCGATCGCCAGTCATCGGTCGTTGAAAGCTCACCGGAATTCTAATAATAGGTTCTTTAATGTCGACGCCCGAAAATGACATGTTAGATGTATTTAATTGCAACTATTAAAAATTCAAAAACTTAATTGGTTTTTTCGTATAAAGTTCAATGGTCTATTTGATTTTTTTTTAATAATTTTATTAAGTATTCTCTTTTCTCATTTTATATATCTATTTCGGTTAATAAAATTTAGCTAAAGTTATTTACAATTCAATTTATCATAATATTTAGTTTAGTATTAGTATATACAATTTATATATTTAAAAATTACATTAAAATATTATTAAACACAAAAAATTAAGTTTAAATTTTTTAAAAAAATATTTTAAATAATAAATAAATAAAATATTAATTTGACGGATAAATAGTAAACATGATAAGTGAAATACGAGAAGATAAAATAAACACGTTATATTAACATATTGGTGTTTTAATGAGGATTTAAAAGTACAGGGGCAAAATGGCAATTCACTTACCCCATGTCGGCTTTTCCTCACAATTCCCATCTTCAATTCAACGGCAAAGATCACCCAATCGGCTAATCTTAACCGCTATGGATTATTCTACTACTCATATTTAATTAATTAAATAATATAGTTCTCTCGCCTTGCGTACACCAGTAGATGCAGTTTCGTCCCACGTAACCAAACTGTTGCTTTGCAGGCTCCAGCTCTGCTGCTTCCACCAGGTTCTTCCCTCTCTTCGTTATTTTGGCTGTAATTATCGTCGAGAAAATCAATGAAGCTTTAACTCTGTTTCTGGTGATTGAATTTTCAAATTCGTATGATTATGACTTTCCGATTGCATGTGAGAAATGAATGAAGTTTTAATCCTTTTCTCCCTGTGATTGAGTATCGTTTATGATGTAAAACTCCTAGAACTATTAGTTTATGGTTGCATGTGAGAAGTGAATGAAGCTTTAATCCTTTTCTCCTTGTGGTTGAGTATCATTTATGATGTAAAAATCTTAAATTATTAGTTTCTGATTGCATATGAGAAGTGAATGAAGCTTTAATCCTTTTTTCCTTGTGATTTGAGTATTGTATATGATGTAAAACTCTTAGAATTATTAGTTTCTGATTGCGTGCGAGGACTGAGGAGTGAATGAAGCTTTAATCCTTTTCTCCTTGTGGTTGAGTATCATTTATGATGTAAAACTCTTTAGAATTATTAACTTCTGATTATATGCTAGAATCGAATTGAGCTTTACTTTTCTTTTTTTATTCTATTTTTTGTTACCGAATTCTGTTCGAGTTACCGTAATCTTAGAATTATGAACTTCTGATTATATGTGAGAAATGAATGGAGCTTTAGTTATGATTTTAGTGACTGAAGATCATTTTAACGGTTGAATTCTTATACTCGTAATAAATTTCTAAGTATACTTTTGATGGAGCAAAGTATGTTGAGCTAAAGTCTATTGGAATTTACTGAAAGCTTGAGTCTAAATTAGTGGAACTTAATTCTTCAACGGGATTCAGGTTCAAAGAATAGACTCTAAATTCTAGAGATTTTACTGATGACACCTTTGGTTAGGTGGTTTCCTTGCTAAAGAGAGAAGGGTGAGGGGGTTCATTCCTGCTCCAAGCATGCTTATATGAATGGTTTGTCTAAATTGTGGGAATTTATTCTCCCGTTTGATGCATGTTTCTTCTGCTCAGAGTTGTCTTGGGTGTAGACTTTGTTGACAAGCGGACCCTTTTACTGTTTTTTTTTTTTTGAAACAAACGGACCCTTTTACTGTAATTTGTTAGATTTGAGACTTTGTTAGGTGTACACTGTAAATTAATTTTACCTTCAAAGTGTTAATATTATATAAGTTATCTTTTAAGGGATCAACAAGCTCCTAATGCTGTCAAAACTGTATGTGAATCCAGAAATGACAAGTATACTAGGGAGCCACCCTTGTCTTTGCTCAAGACGAGTTCCTAAGCATGTTTGGAAGGAAAGAAGTTGCAAAGCTTCATGTTTTAATTATTTGGATCTAGGCACATCTTCTAAAGAATTATTCTCTCCAAGATGTCAACAATTTATGAGTCGCCGCAACCAAAATATTAGAAAACCTTGGACAACTTTTGCTGCTAGAATGGATGATGCAGAGGATCCAGATGACTCAGAAGATGAAGTAGACAAGGAAATGTCGCCTGAAAACTACAGTGGATCGGTAAGTTGTATTTCTGATTTCCTTTCAGTTTCATCTTTATCTATCATTTAGCTAGGATACTAGAGCATAAAGGGTTATCTTGGACTAGTTTAGCTCAAATGCACAGCGTCTTGAATTTTGCTTGCTGCGCTCTAGTATTCTTTTTTTTTTTTTTCTTTACACGATAACATTACAATGTTTGACTAATCATTACAGTCATAAATACACATGAATGACAAGTATTCAATCTTCATTTTACAATAACTAATTACAATACTCCAAAGAAACAAGGACTAGATATCCTCTTTTAAGGAGGGAATAAAACTATCTCACCAAGGTTGCTCTTGGTGAGGTTCAAACCCCTTACCTTTTGGGTTTGGGGCCCGGCATCAAGTCTAACATTGAGGCTCTAGTAACCTAATCACAAAAAAGAAACTAAGAGGGTCAACTTTCCTTTAGGCAGAGCAATCCTACTAAAATCCTGCTAGCATTCAGATAAGCCATAGTTCTTTATGAATTATAGATAGCATCTATTTGCAGCTTATGGTAAAGAGATAGAAAGATACCATGAATGAAGTGTGTATCTGTTCCTGAATCATATGTATATATTGTATAGTCCAGTGTATTCGTAAAAATTGAAGAAGCATAATTTGAGGGTGGTTTCAGGTAAATAATGATGTATTAAGAGAGAAGCTTGAAAGAATAGTTGGAAAGGATGATTCTTCGTTCAGTGGAATTGACCTGGCGACTCTAATACGGAATAAATATGGCCGGTCCTATGATGTTCAATTAATAAAGAAGGTATGTACTTTCCCTTTTCTTCTCTTTAATATGTTCAGATGTTGACACCTGTTCTATCTTCTAACAAATGGATGGAACTTCTATTGAAATTTCAAGATTGCTGGTAGTAACAAAACAAGGATCAGTTCAAATCCCAAATGAAATGGTTAATGAAAAAAAAAAATAGGAGCCTTTTACTGGATTTAAAGCATAAATTAAGCCTCATCCGTAATTGTATAGGGTGTTTAACAGTGTTACACTTTATTCTAGTTTACTTGCACTTTCTTAAATTTGGAATTTATTGCGAGATATTGTAATGATTACTGGGCTCACAAAAGGTAATGCAAGGAAGGGCATCTTTTACAGTATCTAATTATAGTATTTGCCAAGCAATCCTGTTGTTTTCATGTCTCTTGAACTTTTTCTTCTGTCAGCAATTTGATTGTAAGACATCAAATTTTGTTAGGGTTTCAAGGCTTAACATTTTCTTCTAATGTACATTTGTGCAGGAATTCATGGGAAGAAATCTTCTGGCTTTAAATGTAATGTGGAAGTACATGGAACAGGTGAGCTGTCCCTGATGTGAGCTTATCTTTTAGTTTTTGTCATTAGGGTAGTGTGTGATGTGCATAGATTTTTCCAACATAGCATTTGGTTGTAACTCCTATATTTTGGTTTATCATTCCGTGAAATGAAGTAAAGATATACAAAATTGTTGAATATAAAGTAGTACATAAATCAGATTGAGAAAAGTCATGTTTTACAATGGAAGAACCCCCTAGACTACCCAATCTAGCTTAGTGAGAACAAATAACTGGATAGACTAACTCAACAAATAAATAAATGATCTAGCTTGATGAAAACAAGGGATTTGAGATCTTTGATGCTGATATAGGATTTTTTTTTTTTTTTTTTAAAAAATACAGTATTCATTCTATGACAAACCAAAAGAAAAACTTTTTTTTTTGGGAATGATTCAACCTTTTTCTGTGGTGTAAGTTGTGATTTTCTAATATTGAGGTCTAAAGTTGGCCTCACCATTCCACTTGAACTCTACTAAACTCTGTTTTTGTTTCTATCATTAGAGATCCTTTCCACTTACTGAAGAAGAGTACCTACTTAGGCTAGATGATGTAGCAAACACGTTGAAGTGCTGGGGAGCTGTCTCACATGTTCGTAATACCCTTGAAAATGTGAAAGAGCGGCCTCGGATAGGCAAGGTAATCTTTCTTAAACTCAACATTCTTAATCTTTACATTTGGCAATCACTATGTTCTCTCAATTATACTACAGTATGAACTAAAAATTTTGGACAACTGAAAAGACACATGGTGATAAATAATGCCAGTAAAAAAGATAGAAGATAGTGATAATTAAAAGAAAATAATAATAAATGTAATTACAGTAATGAATAAATATGTAAATAGATAATTGTGAGAATATGGTTATAATGAACGAGATTGTATATATTTCTAAATAATTAGAGAAATTTTTCCGTTAGTAAACGAGTTTGTACATATTTTTATCTCTTTTTACTTTCAACATTACAATTCTAATCAAATACTCATGCCCTAGATATTATAGTAATATCCATCCGTATTATTTACAATAGTAAACCAAATCTCCATTTTTTGGGGGGTATATTATCAATATTGGCAAGTTATGTTATGTATTACTAGAGTGAGAATATAACTTTATTTTGTGAATAACCCTAGTCCATTTACCTTTAAACCCTATCTTCATCTATGCTACAGGCAGTGAGCATTTTTATAGATATGGATGAATCTGGCGGCCGTGCAAACGAATGGATATACAAGTAGAAAGTTTAGAACGCCAAATATTAAATATCAGGGAGCAATGATCTCCAATCAATTCACTTAGTTGCTGTTGAACAGGGCACAACTCACAGCCAAATCACCGTATAATGTGTTGTAGAACGAGTCACGCATTAGAATTCCATTCTGATGACTTTCTGCAGTTTCTGGGCAGGGTGATATGTTTGGACAATTGCAGTATAAATTCAATGATATTTTCATATATTCTTTCTTTTGTTCCTATAAAATTCTGATCTAAAAAAAATAATGCCTTGTTGAAAATACTAAAGTATGAAATCAAGAGTTCAAATTTATATGTATGAAAACAAAAAATAGTTTTGTTACTAACTTTTACTCCCACGTAAAAACCTTGATGTAAACATTGTATTGAAACCCACATGAAAAAAATAATTTATCAAACATTGTATTGGGACCCACATGAAAAAAATAATTTATCAAAATTCGTCACATTAGGGAGTAAAATTGAGGAAGTAAGATTTGAGAGTACATGTATTAGAACTCTATTTTATTTGATGTTTCACTTTAAATAAGATGTTTTTACAATTTTACTTGTGGAAAAGCAGTATTTACCTTTTCTCTGCAAATTCCTTTCTCAAGAAGAATTCAGTGGCAACTGGCAACCTGTCTCCTCAACAAATACAACCAGATATACTGACAACTTTACGAATGCTTCTTTATTCTTCTGTAATGCACTGAGTTTCAATGTAGAACAACAGAGCTGGGATTGCAGAGAATAGAGAGGGAGGTTAGGGAAGATGAGAAGAGTGAGTGGGAGATTTTAAGCGAGAGAAAAGTGTTTATTCATTTGATAACTGCCATAGAAACTTCTTCTACAGGCCCAAGGGCCGGCTATTTATACAATCCATAGTAAGCCAAAATATATCATAGGGAAGCAACGACTTTAGCTGCAGCAGCAGCTATACTCCGAACATCACTGTTTCGACAGCTGTTTTATTTATTAAACTAGGATGCCGTTTAGCCGACTTACTTCCCAGGTCATTACATCCTCCATGATCCCTATATTATACATATATATTAATATTAGAAAGAGTTGATGAACCATTTAGGCATTTACCATTCACCAACTTGAGATCTAGACATGTTGTCGTTTTGCAGCCAAGAAAGCTTTTAAAGTAGAATTCTTGTCCTCAACATCTCTAAATTCAGCTCTCCTACCATGACCTGGAATTCATCACACCAATGTACAACATACAGTTGATCATCAAAGTGAAAAAGGTTTCTGATTTGTTCTAACGAAAAATTTAGATGCATGTATGTTATAAGCATCGGGGAATTCCGTGTTGGTGTGTATCAACTTTCAAGATACAATGAAATACTCCGTAAAATATCATATCACTCAATCTAAAAATATGGGAATTGATTAGATAGAGGAAGGTGGTGTCTACTAATTGCAAAGTTTGGCAGGAAAAGAAAAGGATGTGTAGTACTGACCTGGTAATATCCATTCAAAATCCAGCTCAAGCAATGATCTGACGCTTTCATATTGCTTGGATACTGTATGTGAAGAAGAAAACATCAGTCTTGCAACAAATTGACAATAATAGACTAACAAATTTGTGCAACACCATAATGTAAAAGTAGTAGTAGAGAACCAACACATAACATGAGCAGCATCCAGACACCAGCTCAACCCCCAAACAAAATTTGTTTGTTCTCCAAAATGCATTTTCTTTCCATAAATCCAGATTCAGACATATTGGTGGCATATAACTGTCTCATCTTCCAGGTATAGAATTCACTTATAAAGCGGTCTAGACTCTAGAGTTGATCAACATTATCAGTGATGGGTATACTAAGCATTCAGTATTTGTGACATTGATACAGGATAACTAGGGACTAAGAACTGCTCTGCCACTTTATGGAATCCACTGTAAAGATAGCTAATAGAGAAGAAAGTTTTTTTTTTAAATAAAATAATAAAAAAATCTCACCACTCAATGGAATCCATTGTAGAGATGCAGAGTTTATAAAGAGGCAACACAAAGCAAGACTTGTATTGGAAATAATCTGAAACTTGATGCTGTCAAGTACATGTAGGGTATTATAGACTCCTTAGAACATCCCTCCATGGGTTGAAAATGAAAGATTATTAAAAGAACATCAAAGGGCACTTAAAAGTAAGAAGACAAAATTTGGATAGATACGCCTAACACTCTTAACAGTCTTTAGTAAATTGGCAATGAATTTCTATAGGAAACTCCACATGATGCACTATCTTTTTAGTAGTAAACTAGACACCTAGAGCTCTCAAGACATACATAACTTGTAATTTTTGGACTTCTACATTTATACAGTTTATTTGTTTAATTTATCCAAATACAGAGAAGTTGACTGTAGGCCTTCTGCAATCTTTTCAAAATTGAATTCCCCATTAGGTTGAGATGTTAGACATTATCTTGAACTCCCCTATGTCAAGACTGGGCTCACCCAATAAGTACAGTTGTAGCTTCTTCTTTTTTTTATTTGGGTGGTTGTTGTTATTGTACTTCTCCATTCTTGTGAATTTCTCATGTCCCTAAAAGGATGAAGTAGAAGTTTTGTTTAATTAACAGTTTGACATACTTGAATCATGATTGTATATCTCGAAAATGGTCAACCCAGATTCATTCATGGCAAGATGATCTCCTGTAAAGAGAGCCTTTAACGGCTTGTAAAACAAGCATACAGAACCCTGAAATACACATTATGCAACACTGGGCATTAGAGTTAGTAATGCAAAATTCCTAATCATAAATTTACTCTAAAGATTATGGAAAACAACAGAAACTCCAGTAAGAAACTGGGAAAGGGTTAATTTACTCATCAATTCCTTAACCTTGAAATGGATTTTAATCCTAGAATAATATACTTACTGTTGTGTGGCCAGGAGTATGAACAAGGGCAAAATCATCTCCAAGGCTCCATGGTCCCGTCCCCTCTAGCTTAATTTCTACTCCAGCTGTTGAGGTATTTACCTGAAAATATCATAAACCAAACATATCAGTTAGAATAATAAAAATACATGCATCTTAGTCAGAGTTACAAAAGTGCAGATGTAGAGGCACTTAAGATGGATCTCAGATTTCATGTTCTAAACCTAAATTCTTTTCAAGCAGCTTAATGGAAATACATGCATCTTAGTCAGAGTTACACAAGTCTTTCAGTTCTTCCTTCTCTTCTTTTTTATTTTTCTTTTATTTTATTTTATTTAGTTTTTGGGTGGACTCTAGGGCGAAGGGTTTGAGTGTGGGAGTAGCTACATGTTTCCTTAAAATCTACTTGCAAATATAGCCATTATGAAGTATATCTTTAAAGATGCAAACAACTAACAGTATAATTGCACAGTTGTAAGAACATATAGCTGTACTTCATTTGAATGAAGAATTCGCTCACAGCCTAATTGACTTGACCACTTCTCATGATCTGCAACATCATCCCTGGTCATTAAAATGATAGCCTATAGTTAATAATACATCTAAGGATTAAGCAAAATGAGACAATTGATAGCATCATACCTGTGGGTAAGAAACATGTAACGAGCTCCACCAATCATCTTAATATTATGTGCCAACTTCTGTGTGTACCTAGGACTGCAAATACAGGGAAAGAGACATGATAAAAAAAAATTAAAAAAAAAATTTCTTTCTCAAACTTTTTGCATCGAAATTTTGTCTTTTATATATTCTCTAGATACATAGTGTTTTCTATTCTTTACAGTAATTATATTTGTAATCAAATTAACAAAATTTAAGTGACAAAAGATAACCTAAAAGTACCTGTCAACAAGAATATTTCCTTCAGGATGAACAATCAAATAAGAAGTACACCCAAATGACTTCTCAGAGTGATAACCACAGTGATAAATGCCCTAAACAAATATTAAATCCTCAAGTCAAGAGGCCAAGGTTGAAATGTTGAATTTGTCATGTAATTTACCAAACCAAACCAAAGGAGTATAAATTAACCATGGACACCTAAACTGCTAGAATAGTTGTAAAAATACTTCTGTTAAACCATTATACTAGCCAAGAACGGATGCCACATAGATGATTGATTGATTGTGCATAAGCATTGCCAGAAATAATAATCAAGTGTGGATAGAACATCAATAATCTTTTCCAGCATCTCTGCAACTTCACCCATTGAGGAGACAAAGTATTCTTCATAAGGCAATCATTAATTTAAACACCACCTATGCCACCCTTCACAAGCACTTAACACTACCTAATACCATAGTGACTCTCAAAAGAAAGATCTTTGACCTCATTTCCCATTTCCTCTTAATACATTTCTAGGTACAAGCCATGCTTTCTCTCGCTCTCTTTTGTGGGCATATGCTTGTGTTTTTTGCTTTCTTCCTCCTTGGCATTGCCTCATTTTATTGTTACCTCCAATTTTGAACAAGTCATGATTCAAATTTCAAAATATTCACTTCACATAACATATATAATACACACTTTCAACTCTTTTTGAATCTTGGGCAAAAGCTAACAATAATGATTAACTTAAAACAAATGTAACTGCAACTGAGTAGGCAATACCGGAATTCTCTGCTCATTTATTGGAATAGGAAAGGTTTTCTGTACTTCTAAAATATCGCGGGCAGGCTTTTCAGTGTGGATTGAGCTTGTTGGACATGAAAGTAGGGCCTGAAACATGATAATTCCCAAATGGAACTTAGAAATAAGAACAATTGAAAACATTTGAGACATCCAAATTTAAGGAGTATAAAGTGTGTGTGTGTGTGTGTGTACTTTCATATTTTTCAAACAAAATGACATAATTATTGAGTTTTTGCAATGAATACACAATATCATTCTTTCAGTTTTCGGTTACTTCAACTATGCAAATTGAAAAGGTTTTTTGAACTTCAAAATTTGGAGGTCTCTCCGAATGGATTGAGCATGTTGGAAATGAAAGTAAGGCCAGAAACATGGTATTCCCATATAGAAATTAGGACTATCAAAAATTTTAATTGGTTTATACAAAATGTCAAGAGTAGATACACAGACATAAAGGGTAGAAAGTGTACATATATTCATATTTTAAAATGGCAAATTGTTGCTTCTCACAATGATGCAGGATTCCATTGAATTAATACCATTTTTGGCCCCTCAATTATAATGATATTTCCACTTTTGGTTCTTGACTATCAATTCCCACTTTTGGTCCCTTGAATTTTCCAAATCAACCAAATTAAGTTCAAAATGCCATCATATA